CACACTCCTCCACGTACAGGCTCCCCGCTATTCAACGCCGACGATATCGAAAACACCGTAGCCGCCGAATCCCCCACTGCCCTGCTCTCCGCCAAACACGACCGGCGTCTAGCCTTTACCCCACACACCACCCATCCCCCGCCCGCCCTAGACTTTGGCTCCATCGACCGACCCCACACGCCTCCTCGCAAAGACCCGATCACCCGCAGTGCCATGACCACCCCCAAATCGCAAACTGGCGAAGCCGCCGAAAAGCCAAAGTACATTGATAGTTGGCGCCAAGGCGACGTTGAAGGCGGCGGCCGCCCCCACCGTAACCGACACGACCCGGCGTCAAACACCCCGATGAAAATGCGCGCCGTACCACCGCCGCAGACTATCTTGTCGCCCAAGATCTTGGCTGCTGCTAAGCGCAAAAACATCGACTTTGACGATATGGTCCGTGAGAGCGAGCGGCTGGTCACTCCTGAGAAACGCCCGCGTCTTAGTGCCCCTCTGTCGACTATTACGCCCTCCGCTCAGGTCACACCGGAACACCAGACCGGCACCGCTGAGGATCTGGGTCCAATGTCGGCAACGCGGTATGTTGGTGGAAAAGGCAAAGGCGACATCCAAGGCGGTGGTCGCAAACATACCAACAGAACGCGGAGAGATCCCTCTAAGGAATCGCGTCAGTACGCCAGTCTGATCTAGAATGTATCTTTTCAGCTCTTCCTCCAGCCATTCAATGTAGCTAGTCACTTCCAGCTGCGCCACACCGTCAGGCAAAAAAGTAAACAAAGAAAATTGGTGCAAAAATCGACCGATCACGGGATCGAACCGTGGACTTCTCGCATCGGAAACGAGCGCTCTAGCCTCTGAGCTAAGCGGCCGCAAGCCTGAAAGGCAAACGATTTTCAAAAATTTTGAAAATTGAGTACTATATGATAGTACGTGCTCATTTACAATTTATCATTCCTTAGTTTATCGAGCCGCTCTTGCAAATTATCTCACAATCCCTGCCCTAAGCTATCTCACCAATGATAAATATTACCACCCAGTACAGTATGGGGTTCCTCCGCTTGCAACACGCTATACACTTGCTAGCAGCGCCATATCAGCCAATCATCCTCCAGTTAATCAGCTCTGCTGTTGAATATAACTTAATCCTGACGCCAAACTGTACCAAATGGGTGAAATACGCTAAGTACAGACTCATTATGTGACTGAGTATTGAATATTACATGTATGTAGTTTCGACCAATAATATCAACACGGATGTTCCAGCATACCACTGAACCGCCTAGTAAAATTATCTGCGTAATCCTCAAGAACACATACAAAGCCATTGACCAAACTGTACACTAACTATCGCTGGCATTGCACTGGACTCAATTGCTAAGTCGTTGAGAGTAGCAGAAACTGAATCTTACAGTATGGCCCATGTCTGCTTTACGCCATAGGTTATAATTTATCTTGAAGTGACATTTGATATATCCACTTTTGGTTCGCCTTTTCATCATACAGCAGCTCTGATATATGACATTTGTGGACACTACTCACAATCCTAGTGTCTTTTTTGGGTCGCGCTAGGCTCGTGCGGATCGGCTCCAAAAACGCACACTTCCGCTCCGTCCTCTCCTTTTGCGCTATATGGGCGATCCCTGGGTGTCTGACCACTTTCCACCATACATTTTTCGATCGCCAATAAATGCGGAGACGTTTCTAGAGACAAAATAATTCGGGT